CGACTGATTAACTATGCCGACCCTACTTTAGGTCATTTTTATTATCCAAGAAACGTTCCGAGCGCCTGTGAGACCAGTATGAGTACTTTGTTCTGCCCACAGTCACTTGGGGGCTGAAAATCAATAAATACTAATTTTTTTTTTAAAAATCATTCGCTATACGTATATAAATAAACAAGTTGTGAAACGCGGCACCTAGTAAATCGACACCCTGTCGGTTTCAAATGTCGATTTCTTACCTTAAAATACGGAACAAAAAGTGCAGAGGGGGTCAGGTGTTATGTTAATAACCATTGTTCATAATCGCTAACTTGGTTTTATTCAAAACTGCACAAATCGCGAGTTTTCTGGTGATATCCGACAATTTCATGATCGAAAATGGCCAGCAGCCAGAATCATGGGGGATTCGCACAGAGTTCTGGGTAAATCAAGTGCGCATACTCATTTTCAGCCAATCAGGCGTGCCGTAACAGCGAGTATTTTCTTGATTTACCCAGAACTCTATGCGAATTTTTAAACACACACGTCATGTTTTTTAAACACACGCCATTTTTAAAAACACACACGTCATTTTTTAAACACGCACGTAGTTTTTAAACACACGCCATTTTTAAAAACACACACGTCGTTTTTAAACACACGCATCGTTTTTACACACACGTTATGTTTTTAAACACACATTATTTTTAAAATACACATGGCCTTTTAAACACACACGTTTTTTTTAAATACACATAATTGTAAAACACACACGTCATTTTAAGACACATCATTTTTAATTCACACGTCATTTTTAAAACACACGTTTTTTAAAACACCCACGCCATTTAATATACACACATGATTTTTTAAAGCACATACCATTAAAACGCACAGTCACGCGTTTTTTTAAATGCACACATCATTTTAAAACACACACGCCACGGCCTCCAATACGTACGTAATTTTGAATTATTAGCACGTTTTCTTCTAGTATACACAAAATAATAAATTTACATTCCGCGCCTCGTACACAATATCATTTCTGGATTGGTCAATTTTAACTCTGGCAGGCGCTTTGATTAAAAGAAAATCTTTATAACTTTCCTAGGTTTCTATCGTTCAACGTATTTGGCGGTTTCATCAAATAAATCTCGCCTTTGAAGAAAGATATTTATTGAAATTTCTGATATGTTCTGAGTTTATTTTTGTTATCACACAGTGTACCTTACATAACTCTTCTAGTTTACTATTATCATGTACTTTTAGTTCTGAATATGTATTCATTTAATTTTGTTTGTTTCGATCAGTTGATTTTGGTCAGTGCTAATGGCTTAATTGAAATGTTATTACCATGCAATCTATCCAGTACCCACAATAAGGGGAGTAGGCACACAACTTGAGCTCACCGCAACAGTTAGGAATACCGTACCTCGTCTCCTATGGCAACATACCTAGAGCAAATATAACGCAGACATAACCGGGAGGAACGAGGGAGTAGTCAAGCGTTGGCAAACTGAATGAATGAAATCAGTAGCTATCATGATTTTCCAGGTTTTTTCAAACGTTCCCGCAGCAAATAGCCTGCTTTACAATTCCCGCTTGATTCCAATGATCGCTTCGAACTAGTACTACAGCATGGACATGTGCGGTAATACATTCATGATCATCTGTGAATTGTAATTTCCGTGTGTCACGTGTTCGCGCATTCACCTATCACATACATTTCCTTGGTTAATTTGCATATATGTATGTACAACAGATGCCTGTATACTAACTCGTCCAATATTTACCATCTGAGGTAACTACAATGCATTAAATACATTACAAGAGTAAACACAAATATGAATTACATTGCACAGTTGATAAAATATTTCACTCAATTAAAAAAAAAACGCCCAACACATTACTTAAGGTAGAGATGCAGTTTATTTGGCTTGCTTTTTAATTGAGTAATTAGACAATGAAGATGGTATTATATATCCAACATGTTATATATTTTCTGAAAGCTTATTATACAAACTTTGTAAAACTTGTCTTTATTTTAAATATCCAGAATGCGTTTTTGATTTTGGGTCAAAAATATGCTTTTTTGGACAAAAGTGGTTTAAAAAAAATTAGCTTAAAAACTTCAAGTCCATTTGTGGGTAAAATTACATCACTGGATACCTTGGTATACTACTAATTCAAATGCGTCCACTCATCTCTCTAACGACTTTCAAAGTCGCACAGCATGACCTCAAAGTTCACTCTTTTCTATTTTTGCATAATTTATATATCCATGTTAATTGGGGACTTGTTATTTTTGTTCCACTCGCCGTAATAAACTGTCCGGACGCATTTTGAAGGGGAAA